AGAAGGAACGAACAAATTAACATCGATAGTAAATTATAACCATTGAGGAAACTTTGCATTTAGGGAGCTTCGCAGATAAAAACACGATATAATCGCATATAATGAAAAAGAAAAATGTAGAAACTTATTGTTAGATCTAGTGATAAAGGTAAGAAGCCTCTTCAGGATAAGATTGCCTGAGAAAAAGTGCAAATGCATTTTAAATGCGATGATACACACACTTGGTCTTTCAATAAATATGCGTTTAATATCAAAATGCAATAAAAACATCTAGTTTTTAATTTAAAGCTCCTGATTTCACTATAGATTCTGAGATCAATGATCCGTGAGAAGTGAGGAAATAGATACATAATGAAAATTCTTGCAAAATATATTAAAATAAAAATAATGTTCAACAAAACAATATTTGCATTTGATAGAGTAGTCTTATAAAATATATCGAAAACTTTCCTTTTACTTCGAAATAGAATAAAATTATATTTATTTCAATTCGAAAGCTGTCATATAACTTGTTTCGTTATTTGGTTAGGCATAATTCAATTTCAAATATATAGTTATTTATCGATTCACAAGGAGAATTTTTTATATATTTTATCTATCAATTGCAAATGTTTTTTTTTTATAAAAAAATATATTTAATATAATTTGCAAAAATTTTCTTTATACATTTTTCTCATTTCTAACATCACAATCCAAAATGGCTGCAAAAGTATGCAGAAACTTTATTAAGCTGTATAAGATAATAATTTTTTTTTTCTAAAAAACACGTATTAAGAAATTGCAAATATCATAAATATAAGAATAATTATTTTTATTTAAAAACAATTATAAAAAAAATTAAAAGATAAGCTGTAAATAATGAACTTGGGATTAACATTTAGAATATTTCAATAATCCTATAATGAGAATTAGAATATTAATCGCGTATTTAGTAACAATACGATATTATTTATTGTAAAGTATATTGTGGCAGATTCAATATTAGCTGCATTGATAATGAATTAATTAGTTATGGAATTGGATCATAGTAGTATAGTTTCTCTGATCAAGATACGTCGATCTGTGTAATATACTGTGACAATGAAATAATTATACTAATTTGCGATTATATTCCGGATATACGATTGTTATCGCGGACGCGAATAATTAATTATAAATTCTATCGTTTCAAAGTTCGTTTGAACAAAGATATTTCCACAACAAAACTGTTTAAAGTCCCCTTCGATTAATTAATCTTAACTTTATATGATAATTGTCAAATGTATAATACTTCGTTGTATTATTGTCAATCATATATAGAAACTGAAATTTCGAATGGACTTCCATATGCTCAACGAAAGCGATGAGAGTCAGCCTATGTTTTTATTAGCGGTATATTGGACGTAAGGTAACAAGAGAGCAGGCAATACCATTAAGTGCGAGAACCGTCCATAAAAAACTTTGCAAACTCAATTCTATTGCTTCCCCAATTTCCGTCGTCCCACTGCTTCTTCCTTGCGGGTTAACCGTTAGAATCGAGTCGAAACCCTTTCACGACCTTCGTCTTAGCAAAAAGTACCATCTCTTTTTCATCTAAAACGCATAACTTCGCCCCAGCTTTGACTTTCTGTATTTTCGCGATGTCTATCTGCCAAGCAAGGAAGCGCAAAAATTCATCTCGTACAGAATGCGTTGCAGAGTATGTTCCCGCGCCGATTTTCCTGAAGCAGGAAAGGATTTACCTCATAGCGTGATATGTACAGATTCACAATATTTTTCTATCCATTCGCAGAGACATTTTTCACCATGTTTTTCAGAATAATACACACAGAACTAACTTTACGAAAAATATCAGCGATATAATATTTGCAATAAAAGAGCTTTTCTGTCATCTTTACAGTCGATATAATACAAAATATGATATTTCATCTTTTTATAGTAAACATGGAAAATGCACAATGATTTTGATTATACTAATTATTATTTATAGAAAGAAGACAATAATGCTACATCTAAAAATTTTCATAAATTATTTGTTTAAATAGTACCAGCTAAATATTTATTAAATATAAAGATATATATTTATTTGGTACAAGAGCCAAATTTTTTTTCTCTAAAAAACATGTATTAAGAAACCGCAAATATCAGAATAATTATTTTTATTTGAAAACAATTAACAAAAAAAAATTAAAAGATAAGCTGTAAATGATAAACTGAAAAAATTAATTTAATTAACAATCATTTTTTTATTGAGTAAATATTTATTTACTATGAGTAAATGTTTAGTTGGCACTATTCAAATAAATATTTATTAAAATTTAGTTTTTTTTTTCTCAGTATATAAATCTTGATATTCGTTTTATATTTTAAAAGATGCTCTATATTTATTATATATGTAAAAATACGCGAATCATATGCCATAATATCCACATAATATGCACTTAACTAATTACATTTTAATAAAGCATACGCGGCAATGAGAAAATTAATGTACACATGGAAATGCGATTTATTGCAAATAACATCATGATACTAATTACCAATATATTATACTGATACATTACAGAGATAACCGATTAATCTTTCTGACAAACAGTCGATCCTCGCATGATTTTCAGCGACAAGATATAACAGCAGATACCACGACAACTATAATTTATATTCATTGCAAACATTATACAATGACCGTAAACAGGGGAAATGTACATACCCATAGTTTCATGCGAAACTTTATACATGAGTTTCGGGCGGCTAACAACGTTTGACATGTAACAACGGTACCAACGATCTATGTGTATCGGTAAGAATTTATGATCGCGGCTTTATCGCTTTTCTTGAGAGCAACTCAAACTCCTTGACGGTTTGAATGTATTGGAACTTCATGCTGCCTTTTGAATTTTTCATGATATAAAAAGAAGTGTATGTGTGTTCGTGCATGTGTGCGAGTATTATGTCGGAGCGTACAAGGATAGATTGCGCCTAGGTGGATCAGAAGAATTACAACAGGTATATATTTTGCGATTTTATCGTGCAGAGGAACTGTCAATTACAATTTTACATTCGAGCCTGTGCAAAAAATGTCTTGATATAACGCGTTTATGTATGCATTTACATATTACATTCATAATGCAATATAAAAGATTGATTTAAAATGTAGAATTTCAAATTCCCGAATATTTAATATTTCGCAATATATATAATATTTGTGTGCTATTACCTTTTCCAATGAAAGTATATATTATACCTGAGAGGTGAAACGAACGTCAGATTGATGCCTGATTCGCTTCGCAGGAAATTACTGGAAATATTCACGGTGGCATATGCAGAAATGGATTTCTTATACTTTGATCATGTATATGTTAATAAAAAAGTGTATAAAAATATGTTTCTTCTTTAATAAATTAAAAAAGCCTGTTTATAATAAAGTAGAAATTTTTAGATATCCGCTACGAGAAATTGCTAATATAATGATATAATTTGTTTCCTTTCATCATCAATTTTCTAGGATAATTGAATGAAAGTTCGTCTTCACAAATAACTACGTACGATTATTTTATTGTACTTAGATTGGGAGGAATATTACTTCTCAGTATTTGCGAGATCTTGCTGCTCTTCTTCGGCGGAATAACTGCTGTTTGGCGGCCTGAATGTATGGCAGCTTGTCATGATACTGCATGAATTCCCAGCGGTACCCCGCGATCTTACCGATCATTTGCGAGGAATAATATCCGCCGAGAGAATCACGTAGCTGCCAATAGTAGTGTATAAACGGGTTGATCGACCGACAGGCCAATTTCTGCGTTCTTTTATTTCTTTCCGCCGTCTTCTCGCTCATCCCGAAATGCTTGTCTTGTGAGAAGACTGTCTGACAGTAAATCATATTCACCAACTGTACCGATCCATTATTTAAAAAATGAGAAACTTATCCTGCCGCCTCTCACGAATACACAAATCGAGAATTTATTCCACAAGACAATTTTAATTCTGAGTAACCGTCTTCGATGCGTCTCCGACGACTTTATCAATGAATAATGAAGCGAATGAATGTTGCGATGGATTGAGAGACAAGCGAGAATAAACTCCGATCATCTTTTATTATTTTATTTAGTTCCGTTAAGCTTATTTTTTTTACACACATAATATAGCTTTGCTTTTTAAAATAAATAATTCGTATATTGCTCATTTGCTACAACAACACACGGAAAAAAATGGATAGTCTTATAAGTTTAATAGTAAAACTATTCTAGCTATTTTTGTCAAACTTATAACATGCCTTACTTACCTAAAAATAAAAAATACCGGAGGTGTAAAAAGATAAAAAGTATGTTACAATTATAATAAATCCATTCAAGTGATCTTAAATAAATCACTTTTCTCTGTAGACTGTAAATATGAACAACTCTCAAAACTTACACTTGTATTTTTTATTAAGCAGTAAATCTTGTTAGCGCAAAGGCAAAAAATATTCATTGATAAAGTACGTTTTATTAATATGTATGATTAATATGTATATAATAATATGTATATGAGATGTATATAATTTATAGATTAAAAAATAGTAACAAATTATAGTAGTAATTTTAGTAAAAATTAAAAGAACCAAAGTATGTTTTTTATGTTTCTTTTTTTTTTCTTTATGTTTATGTTCTCTTTCCGCAAGTAACTAAAAAATAACAATTTTTCAGATATGTCGTTATAATAAAATATGTAGCCATATGTATGCTATATGCATGCAAAATAAGTTAGCAATATATGTATACAATATTATAGTTATGATATATATACATGTAATCTATACACCTATATAGGATCTAATCTATAATATGTACATCCAATCATGTGTCTATTTGTGTCTAATGTACATGTAATGTTCAATATTTAACATATTAACATATGTTTAATAGCTTAATACTTGTTTAATAGTAATGATTTAATATTTAAAGAAGCAAGATACATTCGGATAACGTGTAAAACACAAATGTAATAATACATTGACAAACGTTATGTAATAAACTACTTACATAGCGCTACGAGTATCAGGTATATCACGATTGCTCGGAAGACCGTCGGAGGCTTCCTGATTGAATTTATTCCTGGCGTATGGGTCCTCGCCTGCACGTAGACCACCTCTTGAAACGTACCTGTTGCACAAAGAAAATTATTGCCGTTGAATTTCTTCTTATTTTTTCTAAAATCTTCCGTCAAACCTGACATTCAGGTTTACGTGTGTTTATCGTGTCGAAATGATCGCGCCGTAAAACGCGACGTCCATCGTAACGAATATAACGGCACGTCGGTTATAATAGCGAATAGCAATGTCGATGAATGGTGTGGATAATGAAACATTCCAATGTAATATAGCAATAACACGCGGATATGTCCCAACAATATGCGATATGTTGCAGTTTCTAGTCTGTGAAAAGTTAATGGATCGTTGCAAAAGAGTCCCGAAGATAATAGATAATGCTTGTGTTGAACGCGCGGAATAATTAATGCCAATATTCCAATTCCAGACAGAGTCGGAAGTCTCGCTGCAGCCGAATCAATATTACACTCGCAAATGCGTTCCGGAATGTCTAAGAGCCGACACTGAAAATACGCTCGCGAGTAAATGATGTTTGAGGTGCATATCGCGAAGCTAATAATAGCGAAGGAAGATCCAACGTCCAGACTCACCCCTGTTCGTCAAAGTAATTCCACGTCACTCTCGGATCCGGGGTCGGTGCTGGTAGAAGCTCGGATGACATTACAATGGCCGTGCCGTCTGAATCCATGTAACCGCCGGAATTTCCGCTGGCGGAAAGCGCCAGGGACGCGGGTTCTTTCAGCCGTAAGGCTCTGTTTTCATTCTGCTAAAGAAAACATTATTTTCAATTAGAACTTGTCACATTCGAATTACTACAGACGTCGCGTAGCTATTAAAAGTTACAGTTTAAGGGATTTTTCAGAACTTTCAATAATTTCCTAACTGATCTAGAGTTGTTGCATCAATTAATCATATAATAATCGAGTGCATCTTGAGGGATGTATACAGGAAATTTGCGTTCAATAAACGTTCTATAAATAAATTTTCATTAATTTAGGAAACTCCGCTCTATGCTCTTCAGATTGTACTATCGATACGTTTGAAATACGGTTAACTGTATTTCGCAATATAATGCAGTTAGATGCATCTCCATTCTCGTTGAACACATCCTGCCGCCTAAGCAATTTCGAGATCGACGGAACAGGACGACCCTTTGTAACTCAACCTCAGCTCCTTGCTTGGACCACTTGGCTTCGGCGCAGGAGTGAATTGTAAGGCAAGACGGTCTGCGTATTGACACATCATCGATATACGCCGTATTGATTTCGAGTCGTTATGGAGTTACGAAGGTCTTCGTATCGCAGTTGCATTGTGCCTCTGCCGGTGGATGTGTATTGTAATAGTCGATATATAGGTCATTGAACTTCGCTCATCATCGTTTCCGGGGACGCACCCCCGGGGACGCGCGCGGATTCGTTCCCTCGCGATATCGGAGATTTTCCGCGACATTTCTGAAGATAACAGCGAACATTTTCACGGGCATGGACGCAGGCACGTACGAGACTTGCGGGGTTACGTGAACAAACTTAAAATCGCCCTCGTGTTTCCGGGAGAAAATGTAAACGTGGCGATCGGCAAATGCTACCGCGGTACACCGACCGCTTTCAGTCGGATTACTTTCGGTCGAACACTCGTGGCTTAACAATGGACGTTTGTAGAATATTCGAACAGACGATAACCAGCTCGCTTGTTATTCAACAAGTTTTTTTTTCGAATACATACTATATTAATTTATTTTTAAACACAATCTATTGTCTAGAATTTTAATGATATATTGAAAACGTTTCGTGATTGTGCAGTATTCAAAAGACTGAACTGCGCGATTAAACAACGGAGGTTGTCGGATCAATTGTCGAATAACAGAATGGACGCAGCAGCCGGAGAAACGGTAAGCGCCTTGAGACCTATAGAGAGTAAGCGTGATAAGTGCGTTTTGCACTAGAACCATTAATGCATTGCATTGTACGCTGAAGCGGGCGAGCAACCGTTAATTTCACCGCGATTCTTCTCCGTCGGAAGCACCTCCCCCGACTACAATCCAAATGGCAGTATTTTCCGCGAGCACGGATCGTTAACCTTACGACGTCGATCTCACGCGCGAAAACATCCAACAAAAGGAGGCGAATAAAGCGAAGAAGTATAAAACGATGGGCGTGACAGCCGATGAGGCGCCGCTGAAATGAGGATGAGTTAGAGCGTAGGGAACCTAGCGTGCCGAGGGAATGCATTCGTGATGAAATATTAATTCACGGGTCACGGATCGAATTACAACCGGAAGCACACTTGGATGGTCAGTCTGCGGCAAGCTGTTGCATCCGGTTCCACAGCGGTTGGGTCCACGTGACGTCAAACACCCGCGTTGTTGCATAAAACTCGTATGAAGTATCCTCATATAATCCAGTCTCCGATAGGGTTGGACGCAAAAGTGTGAATCAATATTTTGGTTGTTTTAATTTACATTCTTTTCACCTTTTGTCACGCAATCGAATTCTTAAAAGCGGATACTTTATATATCTAATTTATCGTTAGATAAATCTAAATGTATCTAAATGTATCGTAAAAAGAGGATTTTATATATCTAATTATAAGTTTAATTGGCA